AAGCGTCTACTGATCCTACCAAGGGATCTTGGTATAAGGTAGACGATGTTCCAGATCGTACGGTTGATTTATGGGTGTATGTGCCTTCTTTGCGCGATCGTCTTTGCAAAGAAGTTAGGCTAATACCACTGGACGTGCTGCGGATGGTGAGAGCAAACCCACTGCTCGTGTCATTACGACGTTCTTCTCTAAAACCAACATTCATTACGAAGTGTATAAAAGGAAAGTTTCGCGGTGCAGCACACTGCGCTTTGCTTAGTTCACTAGGCGTCATATTGACACTGAGCCAGCTATTTCATCTATATGCAGGACGCTGTCGGTTGGGGAAATCGTTGCTCACAGCTGCGGGTGTACAGTCTTTAGAAGGAACTCCCGTTGATCAGTTTCTAAGCGACGAAGTTTCTGCGCGACAGCTGATCGCACACTATAGAAAATTCCCGTTTGGTGTTGATTCAGCTTCGCGCGCAGCGATCGATTTCACGCAAGTGCCGAACATACGGCTCTTCCTCGACGTAGCCAAGTTTAGAACCTTGGGCGGGAGAGTCACTCTTAGCTAATCTTCGAGTCGTTGTACCTATTCTCAGAATGCCCGTGATGCCATCTAGGAGTCGAAGGCAATTAGATAGAGTCACGTTACATAAGCATGTGACATTTAGAGCCTAGTCTATTTCGACTTAGACTGTTTTCGACTGATAGTGATGGATGTAAGGGACTGCGCTCTGGGGAGCAAACGCTAGGTAGTTAAGCTGTGATTCAATAGTTCTAGAACCTTATCAAGGTTTAGAGGCATGCACAACTACATAGGATTACGCCTCTAAGAACATAGCGAGGACCTATAGTATAAAAGGTGCTGTTTTGGTCTTCTGTGGTCCGCTTCTAGCACACTCGTAGTAAGCCTAGAACGGACTTGCGCTGCCCTACTGCATAAATGTACCTATGAAACGTCGCTTTATCCCACTAGATGCCAGTGTAACCATGTTCAACACTTCAAGTAAGACAATTTCGGCTGTCACGGCTGTTACTGTCGTGCTTGCTATCTCTTTCGCCACCACGACTTTCTGGATCCTGCTCTCAGAACAGGCCGCTACGGCAGGACTGCTCACTCTGGACGTAAGCCACCCCCAGGCCTACACGTTAGACCGATATAGCAAGCTAAAATAGCCCAGTTCAACCTCACCGAAACGCCTCCGCCAGGCCTTTTACAGCGCGACCCACAAGACATACAGCGTGAGGCTAGCGGGATCCTAAACATTGCAGCCAAAAAGACTTCCGATGTCACTGGTGACACACAGAGCGCAGTGAGCTCAGCAGTAACCTCTCTGCCCCAGATCGAAGATTATGTGCCGTTCAACTGCTCTTTCGGTATGATCGTGTTCTGCGTTGGGTTCAAGCACAGTCGGTCCTGCAGTAGCTCGCAACTTACTATCTCGGCATTTGTACTGGACAAGATCCAGGACTTACCAAATCCGCTTAGAGATTCCATCCAAGCGCGTGTGAAGGATCTGTCTTCATTGCCAGGCAGCCTGGACAGCCTACCTACAGCGGTGCTTGGCTGCTTGATTGCAGGTTCTCTCTCATTTATCACTCTGCTACTGCTGTCTTACTGTGTTGCATATGGGCATCCTACTCGTTTTGCGACTGTCATTCAGAAGATTGGCGCTAGGACGCAGACGATGGTTCATTTTGGCGTTGGTCTTATCTGCTGTGTGCCCTATGTCGTGCTTGTTGCTATGCAACACAGCGTCACTAGGGCTGTCGAAAAGCTGCCAGCCTGGGTAGAAATAGAGGCGGGCAAGATCTTTGGCATCAGCATTGGAGCGATGGTCTTTGCCATCATGTTTGCTGCGTTTTTAGCGATTCTCTCATGCTGTATCCGTGCCCAAAGCATAAGAGAAGTGTCTAGGATAGGGCCGTCAACACATTCTCCTGCTGATGTCACTAGATCACCTACTAGCACAAGATGCAATGTGTAGGAGCGGAGCTTGTCGTAAAGTTAGCCAGTGTTACCTTGTCTGCTATATGATTGAGAGAGGAAAGTTCAATTCACGGAATATTTGTTTGAGATTTAGTGCTGTCAAGTATCCTATGTGAAGCCATCGTCCAATACAAGTGTTGAATGGAGCCTTATGCGTCAAGAGCTCCTGTTCTCCTTGGCCTATATCTGAATAGTTGGCAAGATAACTAGTCTACAATATAATTATCTTGAATACGTACATTACAAGTAATAAGTAGAAGGATGTGTTCCCTTGAATCTGACTACGAGTGACTAGAAACCACTTGGGATCACGCTGGAGGAAGCGATCGTCGCAGGGCTAAGGATCACGCGGTTGGCATCACGCCCAGACACTGTCATCAGTGATGGCACCCCTGATATGATGGAAGGACTATCACAGAAATGCCTCGCTATTACAGATAGCAAGAGGTCGTATTTATAGCAGGACTGGATGCAACAGGTATAAAGGATGGACGGATTTCGTTATTACGCTCGTTGCGAGCAGCTCAATCATGCTTTCTGACAAGTTCTTTTAGTTACTTCTATATATCTCGTCTAGAGCGTGACGGTATAACAATCGCTTCTAATCCAGTAATATGTAGGGACTCATTTTGACACTTCCATAGGACCGAAGGACCCAAACCTGCCTCTCATGTTACAGTGATTAGCGATTGCGGCTTCACCCTTACACGCAACTGCGCAAAGATTTTGAACCACTCCGCCTTCTGCACATAGCTTAGCGCGAGCAGTCAGCTTCAGAGCAATCAAAATGATTGGTTGATCTTCAGTCTTATGATGAGGAAACTTAAGGAATGCTGCCTGCAGTGGTGAAGCCGCAATCGCTGTAGTCTTGTCGCTGTAGGTGACGCTGTGAACAATGAGTTGCTGTATCGTGCCGTTGATATAAGTAAAGTTTACTTATGCGACCGCAGTCAACCCTGCACTGTGTGGCCCCGTCTAACGATCGAAAGGTAAAGTACTTCGTAAGCACCCGTTGATTACTATAATAGTCACACCAACTTCGAGTTTTCTAGAATAGGTGTAATTTTAGCTCAATATATACAAATCCATCCCAAGAAATCGATTGCAACTAGTGCCAAGTCGTGCAGCCCACGCGCTATAGAGCTAGAAGCTGGTAAAGTAGCTAATTTGAACACGTCTCAC